TTGCCTTTTGCCTTTTTCTCCACTTTTTAGTTACATTTGCCTTCGAATTCTTGGACTTTTAAAATGCTTCGGCAAGAAAAATTTCCAACTTGAATTACCTGGATACTATTACTCGCGTACCTTTGAAAATTAACTTTTGGATGGGGTGTCGAAAATAAAAATTTATCAGGATGATAATGTTTTTGGAAGAAATTTTAGGATTTTTTTTCTTACTTCCTAATGTAATCATATTCATGTAATAGAACTTTGACAGAGCGTGTGCTCAAATCTGTGCCTTTTGTTCCAGAATAACTGGACAATAACCATACCTGTAGCAATAAAAAAAAAAATCAGATAAACAAAAACGAAATTTGGAGATGGATACCAGAGCGGCTCGATACACAAGAGCGTCCTCGTCCACAAAAGGGAAACTAAGCCAAGGGCCCTTCTGCCAAAAACAAAAGCTCTAGACTGGTCAGGGAGAGGAAGAGAGAAAGAGAGAGAGAAAAAAGAAGGCATGGTAGTGTGCAGTGGTAAAAAAAGGAAAATTGAGAACGCGAAGGTACAAAAAGGTCTGCGCGCGAGACACATGGCACGAGTAAAGCTCTCAGGGCAGCCGGTGACGCGCGTATGCAGGTCACACAGTTATAGGCTCTCCTCCACCCCCACTCGTCCGAATGGCCAAAGGGTTTTCGAATTTCCGAGGAGATCCCCGGCTTTGTGTTTTCATTGTACGAAATAGAGGGAAAGAGGGACAAGGGACGTGGGGTCCACCCGCCGCGATGCGCACTGGCGGAGACGAGCGTTCGCGTTCAGAATTCGATTAAATCGCCGTCCACGACACACTGGTATAGACCGAGAAGAGGGAGGAAGGGGGTGAGGGTGAGTAAGTGAGTTTCTTACGCTGCGATCCGGGAACTCTATTCTTTCGCTCGCTGCGGCCCGCTATGTCTTTTGTGGCTTTGCGCAAACTTTTGCCTCGGCTCGTTCGGCTTTTTTCTCCTTCTTTTCCTTTTTTTTTTTTTTTTTATTACTTTGTGGCTTGTTTTGCTTTTCTTGCGGGCGCTTTCTTTCTCCCAATCGTTTTTTTACTCGTCGAAATACGAAATAACTTTGATAGCCGAGTTTGGCACAAATATTGAGCCAAGCCATGTGTTCAACTGAAGAGTTGGAGGGTATGTAGTTTCTAAAAGGATATTATGTTTGGAGAGGAAATTAAAGTTGTGGAAAATAACAGTAAGAAAAGTGATCATGGGGTAGGGAATCCGTTGAAATGTAGAGTTTTTAATCTGTTCAATCTGGTCTCATATTGAGCTTCATTCTTTTTTCCACGCAAAAATTGTATTCATTCAGGGCTGGCTGGATCGTACTTTTTTTGACGAGATTGAATTGCAGCCACGAGGCTTTTCGTACCTCGCAGTAGCTCCCCTGTATGTTGTACAGGAACGAGGAGGGATGATGATTGAAACTTTGTTGGCTGCTTTTTTATCGTCCTCCCCCCCTGCTTCTCTCTCTCTTTTTTTTTTTTTAGTAAATTCTTGTTTAATAAAAGCGGAAGCCCTAGATGGATAGATGTCACGCAGGCAGGTATACTTATTTTTCTTCTCAGTGAACATTTTACAGTAACATTTCCAATTTGCTCATTTTTATCAATAGGGTGGCACGAAGGCTAAATTTCCTTACGGTACATGTCACTGAGCTATCAGTTTTGTAAGAAATTATGCAAAAGTGCGAAGCTAATTGCAGTTGGAAATTGAATGTCAGGGTAGACTTTTATCGATTTAATGTAGGCTCGCGTAAGCTCGATGGTCCTTCAGGAAATTTCTTTGCGTGCCCGAAAAAAATGATCCGATCGATCCTACGAAATAGGAGAGGAAGAGGAATAAACTATTCGGCAAATTTACCATCCACGAACGAGGAACTTTCTGGGAAGGGTGGAAGGAGCGAAACGTGTTCCTGCCATGCTCGCCGTTCGAGAAAATTGGTCTAAGCAATCTAAGCGCCCGGACGATTAATCGATTATCTTCTGTGGTTGATAGTGGTGGCAAAATAAATTATCGAGTGGGTGGGGAGCTACGTCAACTTTTTTTCTTTTTCTCCCAGAATTTCATTATTAAAGACAAAATGTTGATCTAGTTGAGATTGACAATCTGCTTAATCGTTTGACAGATTTTCATTTTTAATAATTCCATTTAATCTGTGCGAAGTAGGAGCAATATTTGAAGGATCTAGAGATTAAATAAAAAAGGGTTCAACGATAAAAGAGAAAAGTCTTGGGTGATGGAGAAAATTAGTCATGGTTTCCCCATGAGAGGATATCTGCGAATGAGAAAAGATAGCCCAAGTTGATGGTTGGCTAAAGAAAGTCTTATAATACACACACACGTGCATGGTAGTGCCCCAGGAGCTCGATCGGCTTTCCCTCCCATTCTCTTAAATCCAACAGTAGCAGCGTAAGCGACTGCGGATCCTCGAATTTACATTCAGCTCAGGTTGGTAGCCTTTACGGCCTCCTCTCTGGCACAGGCTAATGGTACTAGCTGCATAGGTAAATTTTTACGATGCTTATCGTCATCGCCAATTCTTGTGACTAATTTTAAATATGCATCAAACACGTCTTCTTTGTTCTCTGTACGTAAAACTGTTCAGTAGTTTGATGGTAATTGCCTGTCAAATGTGGTCAGTGTATATGTGAAGCTTTTAATAAAGAAAGTCAGGGAGGAAAATGGCATTAGAGCCCTAGTTAAAAAGGATTCCTTAGCCTTCAATTTTCCACCTTAATGTACCAGTCTGATACTTGACGTGTAGATATAGGTAGATACTTTTACCATAGCCCATATAGTTAATTGAATTCCAGCTCAAATTATGCGTGGAAGATATATTGAGACCAATATCGGTGTACCACAGTTATGCCTGTGGCTATCGAAGCTGGCCGCATTGAAAGCCCCTTCTTGATGTGCCTCTAATGTGCCTCTAATTAATACTAGTGCATGGTAGCGTAGGTGGAAACGATCGATCAAATACATGTCTTCATCGTCGGATGGTTATTTGGTGCTTTCGAAAGATCAATGGACTTCTTTGTTTTTGGATGTCTAACCACCTACGAGGGTGCTGATATTTAACGCGGCTTGTAGTTTCTTAAATTTTTCTCACTTTTTAGGGCAAAGGGAAGTCATAAGCCCAAAATTGTGCGTAATGCCGCACTTGAGTCAGTTTTTGCTTTTGTAACACCAGCTTTAATTATATCTAGAAGTGTCCTCCCCTCGATTCTGTAATATAGTATTGCGTATGAATTTCTCCATAAATATATGTAGTAAGGTAAACATAAGTTAAATTTTTCAAGTCTTGTTCATTCATTTATTTATTTATTTTAATAAAAAATTGTTTATTGAGAAATAAACCAACAGCTGTACCAATACGTAAATGAATAGATAAATTATTCTAAAGTTGGCTATACCCAACCCTCCAGCTACCTCCTCCTTGTCTATTTCCTTAGTCTTTCTGTTGGCCTCGGGAATCAGACTTGTCCCAACTTCTAATGAATTATTTCCGGACGGAAGTCAGTCCCTTTCTCGGCAAGGAACGAAAGAAAAAGGAAAAGAGGGCAGACAAAAAACGCCAAGGCTAAAAGAAGTCACGAAGGGAGGAAGAGTTACTCGCTCCGGTGCTTAACGGAGGGAGAACTTTTCTCTCTCCCTTGCGTATCGCGAGTCGACGAAAGCTTTTCTTTCTGGGCTTGTGGGTGCTCCTCTGCTGTTTCTGTCTGTGGTGAATTAGAAGAGGCAGAGAGGGGAAAGCAAAAGGAGATTGCCCCAGGGAGCTGACGTTTTGAGCGTTTATTTTGTACCGACATTCGGCACAGGCTTTTAGAGCTCTGTACTGTGCCATGGTTCACATACATTCTGCGAGTGTTGCTTTGTCTACCCATTGAAATAATTAAACAAGCAAATGGCTTTCTACATTCCTATCTTTTTTTTTGTTTTATAATGTAAAACGTAAAAAACCGTTTAAATCCAGTGAAAAATTGTTTCGTCAACTGGTAAAAAAGTACTTATAAAAACAGAAGAGAGAACAAAAACAACGTACAAGTACATCAAGAGACTCGTAATAAAACAAAATCTTAAATTTTAGCACGATACGAAAGCCCCTCGTTAAACCAAATATCTGGAGGCACTGTTCTAAAAACATTATGGTGTCCCAACTTTTTCTGCGAGTGCGTCCATGTACATTAAACCATTTAAATGAAAAATCCTCTCTTGTCGACTCTTACTTTGAACTGTAGTTTTCTTTCTCAAAAAGGTAATGGTCATCGCTTTTTTAATTATAATACTGTACTCTATATTTTATATTGCTTCTTTATTATTTGACGTTCGAATGTAAGTTGAAGAGAAGATAGCATTCCCTACGAATTAGGTCAAAAAAATAAACTGTTGATGCTCGAAAAAGATTCTTTGTGGGTGGCTAATAGAATTAAAACAATTATAAAACATTTACGTGCTTCACCCGAATAAAATGATTAAATCTTTTTAAGAGAAACAATCTTAAGTGACTTTAGCGGTGTATGTTAAAGATTGTCATTTAACAATCGAATATATACCTTAGGAGCCTACGCCAAAAATACTTGTAAGCGTATCTAAATTGAAAGGCTGTAAAGGAATCTCACATCCTCTCTCGCAAAAACAAACAAACTCTATGAAAGCAGAAATATTAAAATAGAAAAAATTTATAGTATTTAATTAATTCTCTGTTTGCCTTAAGGGATTAACCGTACGTGTGTCTTCTTGGTTTGTTTGCAGTCACGGAGGGAGCCCCTTGAACTGCAGCAGAAAGAGGAGGAGAAAGACGACGGCAACGAAGTTGATTACAACAGTAGCATCAGTAACAGCAGCGACAGTGGAAGCACTCGAAACCGTCCTAATTGAAAAGTTCAGGAGAAGGGTGGCTTGCAGTTGTCATTAGGACGGTAGTGGGGAAGAAGGAGGCGAAGATGATATTGAGACAACGGATTCTCGCTGATTGAAACGGCCACTCGAGATTTAGGGGGATTGGGAGAAGCAAAGGTCAGAAGAAAAAAAAGGAAGGCTCGAGAAACACTATCGGAGCTGACGATGGCGCATCCAGGAGTGTACCTCGAGCTTCTGCTGCTGCCACTACTTATGCTCAGCCACTTCTGCCACGCCCAATTTACCTGGACGCCTATCTACGTTGGTGGCGAGAGTGAGTCAAATTCTGTTTTAATTTTTTTTTTAAGAATGCCCAACTCACCAAGTGCTTATAACATAATCGTTATAATTATCTTCAGTAGTGCGAGTCAACTTGCGGTCAGACCAATATGTGATTTTTCAATTTCAACAGAGAAGTCAAAAAAAGGGTTCTTTAAAATATTACGCCCCTATCACATGTATCTACATGATAACCTAAAGTAGTATGGTTGAATAAATGGCCAGACTACCTTGTTGTTGATATTTTAATGAATGATATCTAAAATAATCAAGCAGGTTATTTAAAAGCTGTGTATCTCAATCAAACGCATATTTGTAATAGATTGAAGTAGTACGAGTAAATAGTCAGACGAAATTGCAAATGATGGATTTAAACGGATAAAATAAATCAGCTATGTGACTTTAAAATGGTGTATTCTCATTAAACTCATGATTTTTATTAACTTAAGGAGTAAGATTCAATATGGTCAGAAAAATCTGTTGTGGATGATGTACAATAGAAACCTTAAAAAAAATTCGTGGTACAGTTACTTACAACGCGCACACGACTATTTCACTGAACGCATTGATTTATTGTAGACTTGAGATCATTGTGAATTGCGATATTTTATTCCTTTTGAAATACGACGGAAAATCGAAAGATGCTTACAAGCTAATGCAAGCTGGTGAGTGAATTTTTAAGCAGTTTTTTAATTAGTTCTCAACTTTAAGAACGTTTGAGCCCTGTAAACAAAAAATTTGCCTTTTCCTCTTCACGAGACAAAGCCTGGAAAATCAATTTGCTTTGGCTCATCCCAACGTGACAGAATACCATGGCTGAGGCTTTAATCCTGGGCCGTGCGTCATTTGATCGACGTATAGCAGTGGATCAAAAAGTAATCAAACGCGCTCGAGTCCACGGTTTTGCATTGGAAATCAATTCGAAACGTGCCAGAATTAACTTGATTTTCTTCTCTTGCCTCTCGGTGCTTTGCTAGCAGTATTTCGCATGTTGAGTTGCAATGACCAGGTATTTCATGACATTCCAAAATGTAGCAGCCCCCAGATTGGCTTCGTTGTTTAATTTACGGTTTATGATGTCTAGAAACTAAATAAGTTGGAATTCGAAAGAATCAAAATTAAGTCAAAGCAAAAGAAGAATGTGAATATCTAATGAAGAGTAGTTGATCACTACTAGCAACGATATCACTTTTATTAGCACGTTTATAGTTACCCATTAATGTGCTCTATTCCAGTGAAATAGCTGGTTAAGATAAATTATGAGCTATTAGCTTATGAGATTTTTCATGCAAATGAAATTTTGAACCTGGGACAAAAAATAATCACCGATTGTTTTACAAAATTTTTTTTTATTGTTTGATGATTTTTTATTTTTATTTACTACTCGAGTGTATTTTAATGAAAGTATTAATTAACTACTTGACTTCTTCTCCAAACTCTCTTGCACTTTTGCAGAGTTAATAATTATTCACTTTCATCAAGTATTTATAGCAAGTTTTGCAATCATTTCAGCCTAATTTCTCACTCCAGTAAGTTTCTTTTTTTTCTCCTTTTTTAAGTTTAAGTAAAATTCTAAAAAGTTCCCAGTGTAACTTTTTGAATTTTTATTTCAAACTTTTAACTTATATTTTTGAACCATTTCTCTTTCCTCTCAACAAGTTTTGTAAAGTAAAGGTAAAAAACATGATGAAGACTAAACTGGAAGCCATCCTACGCTATCGCTTTTTCATTTTCCTCCTCTTTTGCGACGAAATTAAAATTCAATTATATGATACGCGTAGCTGTTAGTGGTGCTTAAATGGTGGCAAACTTTACCGTGTCTCATAATAAAGTAAAATTGCCAGGTTAATGAGAAAGAGGGAGGAAATTGCGTGATGAAAGTCTAGTGCGCTATCTAAGGCGTCTCAGTAGATATGAATTTCAATGGTGGCGGTCTACCTTATACCTAAATAAAAAGAGAAGTACACTGTTTATTCAATAAACGACCAACAAACATCTAGTTAAAACTAGAAATCATTAAAAATTATTTATTTTACAGGATGGATTTATTAAAAACGAAAAAATACTCAAAACTAATTTGAAAGTTACAAGTTAAAAAGAAAAAAGTCAAAACTCACAATAAAATCTCCGAATCATTGGACTCCCACTAGACCTTCATAATCATCAGCCATCCTAAAGTTTCAACAGAAATTTTTATTTCAAACTATTATTTAAACTTTTCAGCAATTAGAGATCCATACCATGGTACATTTATTTACGAGACATGTTTGTTCCAAAACCCATGTTTCGTATTGTCTCAGCTCCCCCAGGGCGTCCCCATCAATGCATCTGTCGAATTTGCATTGCACGTGCATGCGCTTCGATTCGGTTCTCTTTACGTTGGCTCAGCATCCCCTACTAGTCACGAAAATTAACCACTGGCTATACCTGAAACGCAGGTACACCGAACCAACTCCCACGTTGGCAGTTTGTAAACGTAACTGCTGTAGCCTCGGCTGTAGCCATAAATTAATTATTCGACAAACGAATGTCAGCTCGGGTCTTCCTGTATCTTGTGTCTGTTTGCGTGGTGGCTAAAACTACAGTGTACCCGTTTCCTTTTCAACTCACTCTCCAGTATCACGAAAGGTTTGTTAAGTGCAGGCAGAACAGTGTAAATACAAAGAGTAATGAAATCCGTTATCATCCAGTAACTACTTGAGGATGCACAGTACTGCAGATGCGTTTAGCTCTTGGTTTTATTTGCTGTGTTGTTTCAATTTGTCTCTTAGCTAATAACGTTATATTTTTCTTTTAAAATGTGGGTATTTACCTTTGTATGATTTCTTAAAAAATGAGCTGAAACTACAGATACCGAACTAAAATGAAAGAGGAAGTATTTGCACCTGCATTTACTTGCTCGTTCACGCGAATGCACAAGTTCACTCTTCTTTTTCCGGGTTGTTTTCGTACTTTCCGATTCTCTATCTCGATCATTGTTCGCTAAAAATATACAGAGAAATATGAAAGCAAAAGGGAGAAAGCCAAGTGTGCTTGCCGAAGAGTTAGAAACAGTTATCAGTCAATAAAGTTTTCACGCCCTCTCAAAAGTAACTATGCAGCTCACTTTTTTAAATTTTGTTTTCTAAATGTGAGTCAACTTTGGCAAACAAGTGTATGCCCGACTGCAAGAGCTGTTCGATAAATCGTATTCATGATGGCAACAACCGCAGTAGCAACAGCAGTGCCGGTCTACAATATTCAATAATTTAGCTCTCGGCCTCTGCTTTGATATTCCGCTACCGTTTATTCTGGCTCTTAGTTGTTATTTTTTATGACAACAAAAAATTAAGATTTTGTTGATTATATATCAGTGATTAAGTAGTACATTTGCGAGGAATTAATTTTTAAACACTTTGTCAGCTTTACCCGTACACAACCCGATATTTCAGTAGTCAACATCAATATATGATTAGACGGTGGTTAAATACACGAGTTTTCACTTTTTAAGTTCAAATAATTTAAGTATACCACCTTATTTATTATAATATTTCAATTATTACTAGTGAAACATGATACACATAGTAGAAAAAATTATAGTTTTCTAAATCGTACCTTATAAAACGGGTACGGTAAGGCACATAGGCCGTTGGCGCTATCGATTTCCCTTTCTGGCTGTTAGATACAACTGCGGCCCTATATGTCGAGCTTTATAGGAGCATTTGTTACTTGTGGTATAGTCTCGCTTGAGCTTTACAGTTTTGGCTCAAGCCAAGCCTAGCTCCGGCCTGGCCATGTAATTGTCGCGCATTAGAAAGCCGATGGGGCAGCGATGGTAGCAGTGGTATGTATAACAGTAGTTCCACCGGCGTTACAGTTATACAGGTACCAATGTACTGTGAACCAACGCTATCGAAACGGCCTAAACTCTGCATTAGCTAGCTGGACATGTAGATATGGAGTGAGGAAGGGTCCGGTCTTTGGATCACCACATTTTCTGCAGCTTAATCTGATTTTAATCGGTGAATACTTGCAGAGTACGTGTATTTTGATATTTCAGAAAATACCTGATGCATCATCTTTACTTATCGTCATGGGAGAAGATTAATGGATTTGCAAAATAAGAACAATAATTTGAGCAGCTACGAGACATCAATATATAGATGCTTTGAAAACAGTGATCCTTTGAACTACCAGAGTTGCTGGAAGTTATTCGTACCCCAGATTCAATCACTTCCTCCACTATGGCAGTACTAGGATCAACAAAACATACACACAGAAAGGACTTCGAAGCTCGCCCATGCCACCTCGGGATAATTACCATATGGTAATATCGTGGAGCGAGGGCGTCTGGTAAATTATCGCCACCCTCCATTCCTCCCTCCTCCTCTTCGTCGATTCGAATCGTCGAGATTGTGGGAATTTGAATAAAAGCTATTTCACGCCGTCGTCATTTCAGGATATTAAAGGAATTTCAATAGCACCGGAACTTTGGCTGTCGCTTCGAAAAGCGAGGCGTGTAAAACGAAGCCCGGGATCGAGTAATTTGAAGCGATAACAGAGAGCACGATTTCTCGCTCGAGAATTTCGTGCCCAAGCCGAGAGTGGGTGTGTGCATGACTGCTTTGGAAAGGGTTTGAAGGGTTGTATTATTATACAGCCCACTACTATTTGTAGGAACTTTCTGGTGGAAGTAGTCGGAGAAATTTCGTTTACCCTCAGGATAAATACTCATATCTCCGTATCGCGTTTCCTCCACAACCAACTTACTAACTTACTTGGGAGTACGATGATGTACTAGTCTATACATGGACCGTGTAATCCCACCACAGTACAACAACAACAACAACAACAACAACAACAACAACAACAATAACAACAGCATCAACAACAAGTTGCTAAAGTCTAGCCAAGATAACGGTAAAGGAAGATACGTATATATCTATCCACTAACCAATTAAAAGGGTGTACGTGCGTCCAGAGGATAAGGTGTGCAATCGCTGCGGGGAAGGGCCA